GACAGACAGACAGATGGATGGACAGACTCAGGAACTCGCAGATGGTCGGGGACATGTATCCTAACATGTATAATCTATGTAGCAAGTTTGAATGACAACTGACAAAGCATGTCCAAAATACAACATTTTCAAAAAACAAGATGGCTGCCAGTTGGCCATTTTGAATCGAATTGCTAAACCACTGAATGTGCATATGTCCCACATAAAGTACTCGGCACATGCAAAGAATGAACGAAATCGGCCCAAGGGATTCCGGAATATATCTCTGGACAGACTGACGCACGGACGGACACAGAATTATTTTCGAACTTGTGTTATAGCCAGTCAATGAATATAATGTTATGCATGGATGTAACTGGTTCATCATTGTGTACAAGTTTTAGTGCCCATGTCACTGTTGGTTCATATAAACGTCGAGGAAAACATTTTTTGGTTAAATTTATGAAGTCGGCGAGATATCAAAATATGTTGAAATTAATAATTCAATAATTAGAAAAAAATTCTACAATGGCAGTACGGCACTAATAGTCAGCGATTTTTTATTGCAATATACCTTGTGAGTAACGCTACGATCACTGTAACATTGTCAGCTGACTGCATTGCGTTGGACGTGTATTCACCGCTGCTATTGCGATCATCGGTATCTAACTTTTTGATGTAAAATACACAAATTGTTTATTAAAACGATTCATTGACGATTATCATAGGCATTACATTAAAATCGCCAATGAGATGCTGTTTTTAAACATCGCGGAAAAACATGCACTCTGCGCCGCCATCTTTGTTACCTCGATCAGATTGTATGGCTAACAAAAGCGGGATTACCGTAAAAATCCGCAAATAAGCGCCACCCTCAATTAAGAGCCACTCAGTGAAAATTTGTTACATTTGACCCTCCATTAAGAGCCACTAAGAGTTGAGTGGTTTTGTCAATAAGAAACCAGAAATAAGCGCCAGCCGCCCGGTTGTTTACAATCAGGCAGACACAGGCTTGTCGTGTCTCACTTCCACCCTGCATTGTTTATTGCCCCACAGAAGGTGTGAGACAAATAAAGATTATCCCCATAGCTTGCCTGATGTCCAGTATAATTGAGAACGGAAGAATGACAGACGAAAGAAATACACTGAGAGCGTGAATGTGACTGATGCACAATCGACCAATTCACAAACTATTTAGTAGTAACTATGTTTTTTGCCGAAACACCGAAGGACACGTTGAGATATTCAATTATTATTATAACCAAGTAAAAAAACGTCACGATTTTAGAACGCCTTTATCGGAAAATCGGAGGTAATCGAAAATATTTTCTTACAGACGGACCGGAACAGGAAGTCAATAGAAAACAAAAGATTTTTTCCTCAGCGTGGGGGAAATTTGGTTAGCGTGGGGGGAAACAGAGGTGTTAATCCGGTCCTGGCAACGTTTGAGGGATCGTGACTCCGACTGTGAGAATGTAATGATTACGCAGCCCACTCTCGCTGATCGTGATTTTGGGTTATTTTTGGCATTTCATTTGAGATGTTCGTTTTGGGGTGATTCGAGACAAAATGTTCAGGGACGTGACAAAATAACTGGCATTAGTTTGGAGAGAACTCTCTTGCCTAAAATAATCAAAATTGAAGTCGAATGGATTAGTTCCACAAACTTGCGCGATCAACTTGTCTATACAGCAAAGCGAAGTCGACGTGACCCGCCTGACCCAAATATTTAAATTAGCTATTTGTGAGAATTGAAAATAATCTGGACTTGTACCAATTAGAAAATGCCTTGTAACAGGCCTGGGCTTTTGTAAATGATTTAGTCTCTCCGATTGGTCACAGGAAATTATTTTTAATACATGTAATTTTTACTTTCTCGGTATCGTTTCGTATTTGGTTAAGTATATAGGGGTGGGGCTATAGTTTGACCCCGTTTGCCTGGACAGTGAAGTACGTGAATATCATTAACATATCATTATAAGCTGGCTTGATTATGAAACGGAAATATATAAACCAAAGCTGTACTTGTCAGACGTCTAGC